TTGTCTAAGGTCCACCTATAAATAATAGTAACAATAACAGCAGCAGCACAGGACACGTGTCCTTTGCCAAATCATAAATAAGCTTACTGACAAAGTGGTAAAGATTGATGAGATATATGTATATTAGTAACACTGATTAGGCGGGTATTTGTTGGTTGTTTGGTTTATTTTCTATTCAAAGTCGTATTGCGTTTTCTCCATTATTTATTTATTTCTTATTTAATCTTTCTTAAATAACAATGCATCTTTTAGGTTGAAACGATCGGCAGAAGGCGGTAGAACACAGTGCTTGCGAAGAAAAACAACAATAACAACAATAATTTTATGTTTATCCAATTTTAATTTATGTCTTTATACATTACTTTAATGTCAAAATTTGAATTTGAATTTAAAAAGTCTAGAAGTACCCGCCGAACATGGTCTCGAAATCAGTTAACCGAAAGATTTGAATTTAAATATTCGATCAGTTGCCGCCAAGTAGGTAAAAAGTAGTGAAACATGAGTTGGTCACACTGCAAAAAGCTTGTGTGTTTGCATATGTTTATACCTGTCATTAGTTACGCACATTGCACCCGAATCAGAATAATTTCAGGTTTTATTAATTTAAAAAAACTCGCTTATTATTGACATAAATAATGTAAGCATTAAACAGGGAGGCGGCGACAGCGGCAAACTGAAAATCGGTGGAAATGCTATAGCTGCATGTCATCAGCCGATCGTCACAGTGGCACATAGCTGCACGTCATCAGCTTAACGTCGCCGCTGCACATGGCTGCACGTCATTAGCGGAGTGTCGCTGCTGCACATGGCTCCATGTCAGTTGATCGTCGCTGTTGTACATGGCTGCAAGCAATCTGCGGAAAGTCAAGGCGGTCACACTTAGAAAAGGTAGTGAAAAATGAGTTGGTTACACTGCAAAAAGCTTGTGTTAATGGGTATGTGTGCATTTCCGCTTGTGTTTATCACGCACATTGCACCCGAATCGGAATAATTGTAGGTGCTATTATTTAAAGAATCACCCTTAACTACTCACATAAATAATGTAAGCATTGAGCAGCGAACCGGCGACGGCGGCCAACTGAAAATCGGTGGAATTGCAATCAGCTTTATTAATAATTTGCCAAACATGATGTTCGGTGATGAGATCACCATGGTTTCAGCTAGCAACACGTCATCAGCCGATCGTCACAGCGGCACATAGCTGCACGCCATCACCTAAACGTCACAGTGGCACATAGCTGCACGTCATTAGCTGAGTGTCGCTGCTGCACATGGCTCCATGTCAGTTGATCGTCGCTGTTGTACATGGCTGCAAGCAATCTGCGGAAAGTCAAGGCGGTCACACTTAGAAAAGGTAGTGAAAAATGAGTTGGTTACACTGCAAAAAGCTTGTGTTAATGGGTATGTGTGCATTTCCGCTTGTGTTTATCACGCACATTGCACCCGAATCGGAATAATTGTAGGTGCTATTATTTAAAGAATCACCCTTAACTACTCACATAAATAATGTAAGCATTGAGCAGCGAACCGGCGACGGCGGCCAACTGAAAATCGGTGGAATTGCAATCAGCTTTATTAATAATTTGCCAAACATGATGTTCGGTGATGAGATCACCATGGTTTCAGCTAGCAACACGTCATCAGCCGATCGTCACAGCGGCACATAGCTGCACGCCATCACCTAAACGTCACAGTGGCACATAGCTGCACGTCATTAGCTGAGTGTCGCTGCTGCACATGGCTCCATGTCAGTTGATCGTCGCTGTTGTACATGGCTGCAAGCAATCTGCGGAAAGTCAAAGCGGCCACACTTCGATCTGAAAGTAGCGAAAAATGAGTTGGTTACAGTACAAAAAGTTCCTGTCATAGGGTTGACAAAGTAGCTATTTTCTAGCTGAAAGCTTTAAGCTTTGAGCTTTAAGCTCTGCTACAATATAGCTAAACAGACATCTCTAATTTGCACCTCTTGCACTAAAATTAATCAGCTTTCTGCTGATTCTGTTCGCCTGGTATTTCAGGTCGAGAATTAAATGGACTCGGACCGATTTTTGACGGAATCGAAGACTTGGTTTTTGCCTACAACAACAACAGTAATGAAACAGACCAAATTGAATGATGGGTTTTTTCTGCAACAACAATAAACAACGCTTTTACGACCATTTTAAATTAAAACAACATCAAAAATGGACTATATTAAATGTTTATTTCACGTTTTTGAGTGGTTTACATTTATTCGCTGATAAGCAGCTTCTGCTACCCTTTGCCGTTCGCCCTCTTTGTTGACCGCCTCACGTTTTCGGCTTTCTTCTTGATCAGGCTTTCCCACTGGGCAATGAGGCCTCGCGATGTGCCTCCATGTGCGTCAGATCACAGAGCTGGCCCATCGCTGGCTCCATTGGCTGTGTAGGCGGCTGCATTCCGGCTGCGATTGCCATCGGGCTTGTGTACGATCTCCGGTTCGTTGCATTGCGCAGTTTTTCAGGTCCATAGCAGTGCTCCACCTCAGAGTCCTCATCGTCAACCTCGTCCGCATCGGCCTCGTCTGTGCTGAGCTGGCTGGAAACGAAAAAACGTAAGATAAGAGGGATTCTTGAAAGCCTTGACGTGTACTCACAGCTTTTCCAGTAAAACCTTCAGTGTGTTCTGCCTGTTAATCTTGCGCAGGCGCTCCAGGGCTTGAGGTCCTGCAGCTCCTGCTGGATCTTCTGCTCGACGCACCGGGCCGCTCTCTGGGTCCCGCTCGATGGCTGCCGGTAATAGGGTGACCGTGGTAATGCCCGTTGGCGAGTTTCCGTGCTCCAGATTGCTCCCAGAGCTGGTGATGTTGCCCAATGGCGAGACGTGCGGCAGCGGAATATTGGGTGTCACCAGCTTGCCATGGGAGGCCATAAACCGCTGCATCACGCCCTTGGTAGGGCAGGCCGGTCAGCTGCGGCATGGAAATGGTCCTGGTGATGAGCTTCTGCTGCGGCGGCTCCGGTGTCACGTTGTAGCAGTTGGTCCAATGTAACGCTGCTTCTGGCGGGTGACCACGGTCAGCTTGCGCGGCTGCTGCTTGTCCTGGAGGTTGTTGTTGCTCTGCGAGGAGGCCGAGGTGCCAGAGTCATACGAATGCTGGCTCTCCTCCTTAGCGCTGTTCACGCTAGAGGCCAGCGAGGGTGTGGGATAGCTCATCAATGGGCAGCAGGAGCGAAGTGGTCTGCACTGCCACCGGCTGGGCTTTGACGAGCACGCCCTGGTCATGATCCAGCTCATCCTGATCCTGTGGCTGCTCCTGAGTGCATTCACCATAACCAAAAAACGTAGGATGTCAAAGCTGCACGTGGTTGTCTGACAGCAGTTGATCGAAGCTGCTCCACATGGTTCCATGCAAAAAGTCAAAGCTGCACTTGGTTGTAGTGAAAAATTAGCTGTTTACACTGCAAAAAGTTGTAAAAAAGATTATATATATACATACATGACGATTCTGGGGCAGGCTGCTTAGCTGCGAAGTGGAAATGGTCCTGGTGATGAGCTTCTGCCGCGGCGTCTCCGGTGCCACGTTGTAGATGTTGGTCCAATGTAACGCTGCTCCTGGCGGGAGACCACGGTCAGCTTGACCGAGTGCTGCTGCAGCTGCTTGTCCTGGAGGTTGTTGTTGCTCTGCGAGGAGGCCGAGATGCCAGAGTCAGCAGAATGCGGGTCTTGTTGGCGCTGTTCGCGCTAGTGGCCAGCGAGGGGGTGTTGGTTAGGTCATCAATGGGCAGCAGAAGTAAAGTGGTCGGCACTGCCGCCAGTCGGGCTGTGGCCAGCACGCCCTGGACATGATCCAGCTCATCCTGATCCTGTGGCTGCTCCTTAGTGCATTCACCATAACCAAAAAACGTAGAATGTCAAAGCTGCACATGGTTCCATGCCAGCAATCGATAGTCAAAGCTGCGTTTGGTTGGATGCCAGCAATCGATAGTCAATGCTGCATATCGTCACTGATCGTCTCTGTTGCACATGGCTGCAGGCAACCAGCTGAAAGTAAAAGCGGTCACACTTTGATGTAAAAGTAGCGAAACATTAGTTGGTCACACTGCAACAAGGCTTGTGATATTGGATATGGTTCCACCTTTTTTAAAAGTAGTGATGGCCGCCTCAATAACCGTCCCGTTTTCCCGATTCTTCTTGATCAGGCTTTGCCACTGGGCAAAGAGGCCCTTCTTGGGCGTCGGATCACAGATCTGGGCCAGCGATATGGCCGGACGCATCCCATTAATGCTGCCATTGCTGGCTCCATTGGATATGTAGGCGGCTGCATTCAGGCTGCGATTGCCAGCGGGCTTGTGTACGATCTCCGGTTCGTTGCTGTTGATATCCGAATGAAAATTCAATGAGAATCGAACTCCTTTAAGTAGGTTATCTAACACTTGCCCATTTCTATCCAACTCCTGGGTGGACTTGGCATTGCGCTGTTTTTCGGGGCCATAGCAGTGCTCCACCTCAGAGTCCCAATCGTCAACCCAGTCCGCATCGGCCTCGTCTGTGCTGAGCTGGCTGGAAACGAAAAAACGTAAGATAAGAGGGATTCTTGAAAGCCTTGACGTGTACTCACAGCTTTTCCAGTAAAACCTTCAGTGTGTTCTGCCTGTTAATCTTGCGCAGGCGCTCCAGGGCTTGAGGTCCTGCAGCTCCTGCTGGATCTTCTGCTCGACGCACCGGGCCGCTCTCTGGGTCCCGCTCGATGGCTGCCGGTAATAGGGTGACCGTGGTAATGCCCGTTGGCGAGTTTCCGTGCTCCAGATTGCTCCCAGAGCTGGTGATGTTGCCCAATGGCGAGACGTGCGGCAGCGGAATATTGGGTGTCACCAGCTTGCCATGGGAGGCCATAAACCGCTGCATCACGCCCTTGGTAGGGCAGGCCGGTCAGCTGCGGCATGGAAATGGTCCTGGTGATGAGCTTCTGCTGCGGCGGCTCCGGTGTCACGTTGTAGCAGTTGGTCCAATGTAACGCTGCTTCTGGCGGGTGACCACGGTCAGCTTGCGCGGCTGCTGCTTGTCCTGGAGGTTGTTGTTGCTCTGCGAGGAGGCCGAGGTGCCAGAGTCATACGAATGCTGGCTCTCCTCCTTAGCGCTGTTCACGCTAGAGGCCAGCGAGGGTGTGGGATAGCTCATCAATGGGCAGCAGGAGCGAAGTGGTCTGCACTGCCACCGGCTGGGCTTTGACGAGCACGCCCTGGTCATGATCCAGCTCATCCTGATCCTGTGGCTGCTCCTGAGTGCATTCACCATAACCAAAAAACGTAGGATGTCAAAGCTGCACGTGGTTGTCTGACAGCAGTTGATCGAAGCTGCTCCACATGGTTCCATGCAAAAAGTCAAAGCTGCACTTGGTTGTAGTGAAAAATTAGCTGTTTACACTGCAAAAAGTTGTAAAAAAGATTATATATATACATACATGACGATTCTGGGGCAGGCTGCTTAGCTGCGAAGTGGAAATGGTCCTGGTGATGAGCTTCTGCCGCGGCGTCTCCGGTGCCACGTTGTAGATGTTGGTCCAATGTAACGCTGCTCCTGGCGGGAGACCACGGTCAGCTTGACCGAGTGCTGCTGCAGCTGCTTGTCCTGGAGGTTGTTGTTGCTCTGCGAGGAGGCCGAGATGCCAGAGTCAGCAGAATGCGGGTCTTGTTGGCGCTGTTCGCGCTAGTGGCCAGCGAGGGGGTGTTGGTTAGGTCATCAATGGGCAGCAGAAGTAAAGTGGTCGGCACTGCCGCCAGTCGGGCTGTGGCCAGCACGCCCTGGACATGATCCAGCTCATCCTGATCCTGTGGCTGCTCCTTAGTGCATTCACCATAACCAAAAAACGTAGAATGTCAAAGCTGCACATGGTTCCATGCCAGCAATCGATAGTCAAAGCTGCGTTTGGTTGGATGCCAGCAATCGATAGTCAATGCTGCATATCGTCACTGATCGTCTCTGTTGCACATGGCTGCAGGCAACCAGCTGAAAGTAAAAGCGGTCACACTTTGATGTAAAAGTAGCGAAACATTAGTTGGTCACACTGCAACAAGGCTTGTGATATTGGATATGGTTCCACCTTTTTTAAAAGTAGTGATGGCCGCCTCAATAACCGTCCCGTTTTCCCGATTCTTCTTGATCAGGCTTTGCCACTGGGCAAAGAGGCCCTTCTTGGGCGTCGGATCACAGATCTGGGCCAGCGATATGGCCGGACGCATCCCATTAATGCTGCCATTGCTGGCTCCATTGGATATGTAGGCGGCTGCATTCAGGCTGCGATTGCCAGCGGGCTTGTGTACGATCTCCGGTTCGTTGCTGTTGATATCCGAATGAAAATTCAATGAGAATCGAACTCCTTTAAGTAGGTTATCTAACACTTGCCCATTTCTATCCAACTCCTGGGTGGACTTGGCATTGCGCTGTTTTTCGGGGCCATAGCAGTGCTCCACCTCAGAGTCCCAATCGTCAACCCAGTCCGCATCGGCCTCGTCTGTGCTGAGCTGGCTGGAAACGAAAAAACGTAAGATAAGAGGGATTCTTGAAAGCCTTGACGTGTACTCACAGCTTTTCCAGTAAAACCTTCAGTGTGTTCTGCCTGTTAATCTTGCGCAGGCGCTCCAGGGCTTGAGGTCCTGCAGCTCCTGCTGGATCTTCTGCTCGACGCACCGGGCCGCTCTCTGGGTCCCGCTCGATGGCTGCCGGTAATAGGGTGACCGTGGTAATGCCCGTTGGCGAGTTTCCGTGCTCCAGATTGCTCCCAGAGCTGGTGATGTTGCCCAATGGCGAGACGTGCGGCAGCGGAATATTGGGTGTCACCAGCTTGCCATGGGAGGCCATAAACCGCTGCATCACGCCCTTGGTAGGGCAGGCCGGTCAGCTGCGGCATGGAAATGGTCCTGGTGATGAGCTTCTGCTGCGGCGGCTCCGGTGTCACGTTGTAGCAGTTGGTCCAATGTAACGCTGCTTCTGGCGGGTGACCACGGTCAGCTTGCGCGGCTGCTGCTTGTCCTGGAGGTTGTTGTTGCTCTGCGAGGAGGCCGAGGTGCCAGAGTCATACGAATGCTGGCTCTCCTCCTTAGCGCTGTTCACGCTAGAGGCCAGCGAGGGTGTGGGATAGCTCATCAATGGGCAGCAGGAGCGAAGTGGTCTGCACTGCCACCGGCTGGGCTTTGACGAGCACGCCCTGGTCATGATCCAGCTCATCCTGATCCTGTGGCTGCTCCTGAGTGCATTCACCATAACCAAAAACGTAGGATGTCAAAGCTGCACGTGGTTGTCTGACAGCAGTTGATCGAAGCTGCTCCACATGGTTCCATGCAAAAAGTCAAAGCTGCACTTGGTTGTAGTGAAAAATTAGCTGTTTACACTGCAAAAAGTTGTAAAAAAGATTATATATATACATACATGACGATTCTGGGGCAGGCTGCTTAGCTGCGAAGTGGAAATGGTCCTGGTGATGAGCTTCTGCCGCGGCGTCTCCGGTGCCACGTTGTAGATGTTGGTCCAATGTAACGCTGCTCCTGGCGGGAGACCACGGTCAGCTTGACCGAGTGCTGCTGCAGCTGCTTGTCCTGGAGGTTGTTGTTGCTCTGCGAGGAGGCCGAGATGCCAGAGTCAGCAGAATGCGGGTCTTGTTGGCGCTGTTCGCGCTAGTGGCCAGCGAGGGGGTGTTGGTTAGGTCATCAATGGGCAGCAGAAGTAAAGTGGTCGGCACTGCCGCCAGTCGGGCTGTGGCCAGCACGCCCTGGACATGATCCAGCTCATCCTGATCCTGTGGCTGCTCCTTAGTGCATTCACCATAACCAAAAACGTAGAATGTCAAAGCTGCACATGGTTCCATGCCAGCAATCGATAGTCAAAGCTGCGTTTGGTTGGATGCCAGCAATCGATAGTCAATGCTGCATATCGTCACTGATCGTCTCTGTTGCACATGGCTGCAGGCAACCAGCTGAAAGTAAAAGCGGTCACACTTTGATGTAAAAGTAGCGAAACATTAGTTGGTCACACTGCAACAAGGCTTGTGATATTGGATATGGTTCCACCTTTTTAAAAGTAGTGATGGCCGCCTCAATAACCGTCCCGTTTTCCCGATTCTTCTTGATCAGGCTTTGCCACTGGGCAAAGAGGCCCTCCTTGGGCGTCGGATCACAGATCTGGGCCAGCGATATGGCCGGACGCATCCCATTAATGCTGCCATTGCTGGCTCCATTGGATATGTAGGCGGCTGCATTCAGGCTGCGATTGCCAGCGGGCTTGTGTACGATCTCCGGTTCGTTGCTGTTGATATCCGAATGAAAATTCAATGAGAATCGAACTCCTTTAAGTAGGTTATCTAACACTTGCCCATTTCTATCCAACTCCTGGGTGGACTTGGCATTGCGCTGTTTTTCGGGGCCATAGCAGTGCTCCACCTCAGAGTCCCAATCGTCAACCCAGTCCGCATCGGCCTCGTCTGTGCTGAGCTGGCTGGAAACGAAAAAACGTAAGATGATAAGAGGGATTCTTGAAAGCCTTGACGTGTACTCACAGCTTTTCCAGCAAAACCTTCAGTGTGTTCTGCCTGTTAATCTTGCGCAGGCGCTCCAGGGCTTGAGGTCCTGCAGCTCCTGCTGGATCTTCTGCTCGACGCAACGGGCCGCCCTCTGGGTCCCGCTCGGTGGCTGCCGGTAATACGGTGACCGTGGTAATGCCCGTTGGCGAGTTTCCGTGCTCCAGATTGCTCCCAGAGCTGGTGATGATGCCCAATGACGAGACGGGCGGCAGGGGACTATTGGGTGTCACCTGCAGGTGATGGGGTGACCGTGGTAATGCCCGTTGGTGAGTTGCCGTTCTCCAGGAAGGCCAAATCCGCGCGCGTGTGCAGCTTGAGGGTGTTGTTGCTGCTGACTTCCATTTTGACTGCTCCCTGAGCTGCTGATGTTGCCCAAGGGCACCACCGAAGGCAAACTGACGCTTCAGGGGCTGGTCGCTGCTCCTGGCGGGTGACCACAGTCAACTTAAGCGGCGGCTGCTGCACTGCCGCCGACCGGGCTGTGACCAGCTCGCCCTGGTCATGATCCAGCTCAACCAGATCCTGTGGCTGCTCATAAGTGCATTCACCGTAACCTAAAGCGTAGGATGTCAAAGCTGCACGTGGTTCCATGCCAGCAATCGATAGTCAAAGCTGCGAATGTTTGCATGCCAGCAATCGATAGTCAATGCTGCACATGGCTCAATGTCAGCGGATCGTCAATGCTGCACATGCCTCAATGTCAACTTATCGTCAATGCAGCACATGGCTCCATGTAAGCTGATCATCAATGCTGCACATGGCTCCATGTCAGCTGATCATCAATGCTGCACATGGCTCCATGTCAGCTGATCGTCGACCTTATTATTATTATGAACATACCTAACCATATCCTCGCCGAACAGGCGCACGGCGTCATCGAAGCCGGTCTTCATGTCCTGGAACTTGTCTCCAGCTCCGCAAAGCGGACCGATGCCAAAGCGTAGAACTCCCGCATGACGGGCAAAGTTCGGTGGAACTCGATGTCGCGTGCCACATCCGCCAGGCCGGTGCGCAGCATCTGAATATCCTTGTCCATCTCGCCCAGCGACACCTTGGAAACCTCACGGGCATACGGAATATGATCCTCCAGCTTTAGTGGATCCATGAATTTACTCTCGATTACCTGGACGAGATACTGCAGCAGGGTGGTGCCCTTGGCGGCACTGGACTTGGTGTGGGTTACGCGCCCTGCGGTTCATGTAGTTGCCTGTGGTTATTAAAAATGCACTTAAATAGTGAAAATAAATGAAAAAGTGAATGGATAGATTACCCATAGCCAGAATCAGCTCAAGGAGCTTACGCAGACGTCGGGAACTAGCCACTACGCGGTACGCCTCTATTACACTGGCGATGCGGTGTATAAGATCGTTGACCGTCGGCATAAAGCGCTTCCTGCAGTGGAGACTCTTCAGCCTTTACTCGTAGTGGGGAATCCTGCCAGGACAAAAGAACAAATAGTTTAGTGACTGCCAAATCTCTTCGATGCCCTTCAAACCCACTTTGATATTTCGTAAAGGAAGCGATCGGCACGGGCCAGTGACTCAATATCCTCTTTATGCTCATCCAACAGTGCATGTTCCTCCATTGCGGGCGTAAGCTGCTCCAAGATGTTGGGTGTCAGCTGCTCGTTGCTGTCCGTCGAGAAAATGGCCCTAGAAGAGAAGAGATTAGTATTTGGAACCAGGACGTGACTAAAGCAGCTCCTACTCGCTCATCTTCAGCTTGCTGAGCAGGACGGTGCAGTTCTGGGCCGGCGTCAATCAATCACTGAGATCACCTTCTGCTTGGCTGGCTTGCCGCCAGTTGCCCGAAGATCCTCATCGGAGCTACCGGTGGCCTGTGGAAATAGAAGAGAGCATTAAATAAAGGAAGGTCTTTCAGTGGAATCTCCCCTAGACACTCACCGATACCCCATTCTTTTGATAAGCCGACAAGAGCTTGTTTATCGACTCCAAATCTCATGTTATACAGCTTGCTCTCGTCAAGCTCGCTCCCGGCGGTGCCCTGGAGCTTGGCATCCGGCAGCTTGGACCATTTGATGCTCTTTAATGGATTCGTGGGCACACGTGGCCCGTTATCCTTTGGCAGCTCCACCTTGGGTGGCACAGGATCTGCAGGCAAAGGACAGAAATTAATTTATGTGGCGCTCCTTGACTTGACTTAACTCTGTACTCACCCATTTCTGGCGTCATCCAAGGTGGCGAAGGCGGTGCACCCGGCGGTGGTGGTGGCATCATGGCCGGCGCCATTTTGGTGGTGGCGGCGGTATGGCCGGCGCCATTTTGGTGGTGGCGGCGGTATGGCCGGCGCCATTTTGGTGGTGGCGGCGGTATGGCCATGAACATGGCCGAGGGCGGCGGCGGCGGTGGCCACACAGCTCCATTGCAGCCAGTCAGACCGGCCACCTTCTGGGCATCGGGTATGCTGCCCTCGGTGACCAGATGCTCGAGACGGGCCAGCTTCTGCTGCTCAATAAGCAAGCGATGATACCGATCTACAAAAAGTTGTGAAAAATAACTGTCACTTTTCGCTAATAGTAAAAAAAGCACAAAAAAGTTCTGAAAAACAACACTAATTTTTCGATATTAAAGTAGTGAACATAAGCTGGTCACACTACAAAAAAGTTATGAAAAACGACACTAATTTTTCGATATTAAATTAGTGAACCTTAGCTGGTCACACCTCCATGCTGCATATGGCGGCTCCATGTCAGCTGATCGTCGACATTATTATTATTATTATTAACATACCGAACCATCGTCGCCGAACAGACGCACGGCGTGATCGAAGCGGGTCTTCATGTCCTGGAACTTGTCCTCCAGCTCCGCAAAGTGGACCGATGCCGAGGCGTGGAACTCCCGCATGAAGGGCAAAGTTCGATGGAACTCGATTTCGCGTGCCACATCCGCCAGGCCGGTGCGCAGCATCTGGATATCCTTGTCCATCTCGCCCAGCGACACCTTGGAAGCCTCACGGGCATACGGAATATGATCCTCCAGCTTTAGTGGATCCATGAATTTACTCTCGATTACCTGGACGAGATACTGCAGCAGGGTGGTGCCCTTGGCGGCACTGGACTTGGTGTGGGTTACGCGCCCTGCGGTTCATGTAGTTGCCTGTGGTTATTAAAAATGCACTTAAATAGTGAAAATAAATGAAAAAGTGAATGGATAGATTACCCATAGCCAGAATCAGCTCAAGGAGCTTACGCAGACGTCGGGAACTAGCCACTACGCGGTACGCCTCTATTACACTGGCGATGCGGTGTATAAGATCGTTGACCGTCGGCATAAAGCGCTTCCTGCAGTGGAGACTCTTCAGCCTTTACTCGTAGTGGGGAATCCTGCCAGGACAAAAGAACAAATAGTTTAGTGACTGCCAAATCTCTTCGATGCCCTTCAAACCCACTTTGATATTTCGTAAAGGAAGCGATCGGCACGGGCCAGTGACTCAATATCCTCTTTATGCTCATCCAACAGTGCATGTTCCTCCATTGCGGGCGTAAGCTGCTCCAAGATGTCGGGTGTCAGCTGCTCGTTGCTGTCCATCGAGAAAATGGCCCTAGAAGAGAAGAGATTAGTATTTGGAACCAGGACGTGACTAAAGCAGCTCCTACTCGCTCATCTTCAGCTTGCTGAGCAGGACGGTGCAGTTCTGGGCCGGCGTCAATCAATCACTGAGATCACCTTCTGCTTGGCTGGCTTGCCGCCAGTTGCCCGAAGATCCTCATCGGAGCTACCGGTGGCCTGTGGAAATAGAAGAGAGCATTAAATAAAGGAAGATCTTTCAGTGGAATCTCCCCTAGACACTCACCGATACCCCATTCTTTTGATAAGCCGACAAGAGCTTGTTTATCGACTCCAAATCTCATGTTATACAGCTTGCTCTCGTCAAGCTCGCTCCCGGCGGTGCCCTGGAGCTTGGCATCCGGCAGCTTGGACCATTTGATGCTCTTTAATGGATTCGTGGGCACACGTGGCCCGTTATCCTTTGGCAGCTCCACCTTGGGTGGCACAGGATCTGCAGGCAAAGGATAGAAATTAATTTATGTGGCGCTCCTTGACTTGACTTAACTCTGTACTCACCCATTTCTGGCGTCATCCAAGGTGGCGAAGGCGGTGCACCCGGCGGTGGTGGTGGCATCATGGCCGGCGCCATTTTGGTGGTGGCGGCGGTATGGCCGGCGCCATTTTGGTGGTGGCGGCGGTATGGCCGGCGCCATTTTGGTGGTGGCGGCGGTATGGCCGGCGCCATTTTGACCATGGCCGAGGGCGGCGGCGGCGGTGGCTACACAGCTCCATTGCAGCCAGTCAGACCGGCCACCTTCTGGGCATCGGGTATGCTGCCCTCGGTGACCAGATGCTCGAGACGGGCCAGCTTCTGCTGCTCAATAAGCAAGCGATGATACCGATCTACAAAAAGTTGTGAAAAATAACTGTCACTTTTCGCTAATAGTAAAAAAAGCACAAAAAAGTTCTGAAAAACAACACTAATTTTTCGATATTAAAGTAGTGAACATAAGCTGGTCACACTACAAAAAAGTTATGAAAAACGACACTAATTTTTCGATATTAAATTAGTGAACCTTAGCTGGTCACACCTCCATGCTGCATATGGCGGCTCCATGTC